TTTTGCCTTAAGTGTGTTCAGTTTGCCAAGTCATGTGTGTATGTACGCGTACAGTGTATATATATATATATATATACTATACATATCAGTGAAGCCTGTGAAGCCTTGAGCCCTACGCTTCATAGCTCGGGGCGCCTTCCCTTGCGCAGGAGATGGCCAAACTGCCCAGGCCAGGGGACAGCGCGGCTTACAACCGCCCAAGCTCCTTCCAAGCTGAGAAGCTTGGTGGCCCGGTGGTACCCTTTTCCCTTTGTTGGTTCAAGGTTCCCTTATAAAAGCAACCAACCCCAAAAACAGAAAGCAACCAACCCAAGAAAAGGGTGCCTTCATTATGATATGGTTACTGGGCTACCAAGGAAGGCTGAGAACATCGGATCCTTGGCACATCATTGCTCAGGGTGATGAATGTTTCTCGGGGTTGGGGGGGGTTTGCGTTGGCAAGCCAGACATGAGGGTTTAGGGTTTAGGGTTTAGGGTGTAGGGTTCAAAAAGTAAACAGAACCGGTCTTAATCGACGAAGCCGCCCTGTGTCCTCCGCGCACTACGCTTTGTTCAAACAAGAGCCCACAAGGCCACAAGAGTCGACTGCTTAGGGTTTAGGGTTTAGGGTTTAGGGTTTAGGGTTTAGGGTTTCAATACCCCGAACAGAATCGTGCAAACAGAAGCCTTCGAAGTCAGTGTCTGAAGAGAATCAAAATGCTTCGCTGATGTACCAAAAAAGCTCAGCTCCAACCAGTATACTTATTTTGCAGATAAGCTTGTTTCATCAACGTAAGGTTCCACTTTGCACTTGTAAGAAGTACGCATCTGGCAGAAAGACGATTGCACATTCCTTGCAAAGTTGTTTCTCTTGCGCACAGCCAGTTGTATATTCGCGGGAAGCTGGCCACACCCAGCCGTTTGTATGTAGCCTTTGCAAAATTTTGCAAACATGGCATGACGCGTGCATGACACGCACAACAGAAATGCAGGAAGCTTGAAGGAGCAATCGGTGGCACCGTGACGCATGAGAAAGCCAGGTATGCCGTGGGCGAGAATAGAGTACAGAAGCCGCTCGCGCCAGTAAACTCAAAACCCTACTGGGAGGTTCGTGGTACATATAACCAACTATAACTTGGCTATAACTCCCCTCATAAGTGCCCTAATATGGTTCTAAGTCTAAGTACAGTCGTAATTGCTTAACAAGTACCATGAACCTCCAACTAAACCCTAAACCCTAAACCCTAAACCCCTTTTTGAGCTTCAGCTGCCCCCTGTTGAGCTTCAAGCCCAGGCGCGGCGCCTTTCGAGCAGCCGGCTCCGGAGCCGGAGCCCAGCCGGCCGAGACCCAGCCTCGGACCCGGTCTTAGATCACAATCTATAACATTTACAATGTAAATTTTATACCTACATACATGTATTGGTTTATGTATATGTGTATTTTGCCACATGAAGTATATGCATGTATATATATATATACATACATATACATAATCTCGCCTCTTTGTCTCTGTGTCTCTGCCTGTGTCTGTGCGCGTGTGGGGTTGTCTACGTGCACGTGGACGCAGTGGCGGTGGCAGTGGTGGTGGTGGCGGCGTTTTCCTTCAAAAGTGTTGTTTTTGTCGTTCGCTTTGGTATGTTGGGCAGGTTGTTCGCGTTTGTTTCGGGGCAGGGCATGTTTGGACTTCCCCCCCCCCCCCCCCCCTTCCCTCGTTTGGTTGGGCAGACAACTTTCTTTGCCTTTTCAGAACTTTTTGGAGGTTGGAGTGGGGGAGCAGGGGGCGTTCTTGGCTCCAGGGCTCCTACAGGACTTCAGCATGGGGGCTGGGCATGGCTTCTAAAGGGTAAAGCAAAGGCTTACAGAGGAGGCTTCTTGCGGGAGCTTGGGTGTTGCTGCAAGCCACCGGCAGCGTGACGCTCTAAGACTCTAGGCCCTGATCCCTGTGGCGCCCAGCCATCGGGGTCCAAGAACGACCCGGGCACTCCATCGTGGGTAGCCGAGGTCCAGAGACTGGGCTGCAGGGATCCTGGGAATGGTTAGGGTTATCGAGGGGCTTCAGGGTATTCATATCTCCTCTACCTCTGGCGTCGTGCCGACATTCTAGGGAAGATGCGGGTTCAGACCACCCACATCAGTTTGCCTGAGGCTATCATGAGTAGTTTGAGCGCTTGATGTCACATCAAAGCCCAGGAGAGAAGAGGACGCCGAGCAGATAGTTCTGAAGGCCTGGTGCCGTTCCACCAACTGTTGGAACCAGGCCCTAGCTCTTGAACCTGGAAACCCCAAAGCACTCTGCTCCCCAAAAGCCCCTGCAACTAGCATGGTTTGAACAGGTTTGAACTCAATGTTGTTGTTTTGTTTGGTTTGTTTCTGTTTCTTTGGGAAATGTGCCAAGCCTTATTTTGCCCTACACCCCTTGTGACATAGCGATTGCCAGTCTGTGAGAGTAGACACCTGAAACCCTAAACCCTAATCTCTAAACCCTGTTGCAAAAAAGACCTAGACTCCTAGATATAGAAGCGCCGCTTCCTACACCTTCCCGAAGGTCCGGTTGCAGGACTCCCTCCAGGACGTTGGGCTCGGTGATCTGGCCTTGGACGTCAACGACCGCGAGCAGCTGATGACGCTGTGCCACGGCGCTCCGAGTAGTTGACCCACCGAAGCACCCCATACACCCTAATGCTCTGAGATGTTCCCCCTCATACTAACAGCCCTTGATGGGGAATTCTAGTGCCCCCCTGTTATAATGCCTATTAAGGGCTGCTAGTATGAGGGGGAACAGCCCAACCCTAAACCCTAAACAACCTCCCCCCCTCTCCCCTCTCCTCAAAGAAAGAGAAGACGACAGTCACACAGTCGCCCGAAACTCCGATGTGGGGTAGTGTCGTTCCCTACAGTTTAGGGTACCATCAGGAGGCGAGTGGCCCATCCCTTTTAAAATTTATACCCCTTAAAATTAAACGAATAGAATCCCCCCTAAAGGGACCCCCCAAAAAAAACAAACCCCAAACCCCAAACCCCAAACCCTAAACCCTAAACCCCCCATTTTCGGAAACCTTCAAGTGATTGCATGATGCGCCATCCGAGGCAGCTTCAGGGCCCATCCGCCTCGCCACAGGCCAGGTTGATGTCTGGAGTTTAGGGTTTAGGGTTTAGGGTTTAGGGTTTAGGGCCTGTTTAGGGTTCAGGGTTTGTTTAGGGTTGACTTAGGGACTTAAGGAATCACTAGGGCCTTTTGTAGGATGAGGGTTCCGGGTTTGCTTTAAGGGTTTAGGGGCCCAAGTCATGGCGATTGCAACTTCTCACTGAAATAAGAGTCGGTTTCTCACCTGGGCGGGCTGGCTTCCAGGTGTGTAGAGGCCTTCGTGAAGCCATGCGGGTGCCAACTGCTTGTGCGAGTGTGAGAGTCGAAACCCTCAGCCTTAAAATCCTTACTCCCGCAGAGTACCCTGCAGTGCGAACGCCTATGGACAGCTTGTCGGGTTAGGGTTTAGGGTGTAGGGTTCTGGCCCATCCTCTCTGCAGGGTTTAGGGCTGAGTGACACTGTTCAGGGTTCAGGGGTTTAGGGTGACACCCAAGACCTGAGCCACAGAACCGAAGCCTGAAATCTTCGAAGCCCTCAGGTTAAACCCTCAACCCTCAAAGCCCGAATTTGGGGCAGCACCCGAACTGGAGCGAAGTGCCCTCCGGCAGGTCCTTCGGTTGCCTTTGCCCCGCATCCGCGCGGATGGCTTGGAGGCCAAGTGGCGCAAGAAGTCGCTCGGCCGCTCTTTTAGGGTGCCTTTCGGGTCCCATAGCACGGGTGCATTCAAAAGGGGTTTATATAGGGCTTCGGTCCGATTTTTTGCAACAAGCATTCTTTGTCCCAGAAAGGCAGTTTACAGTTGTATCTCGAACCCTGGGCTATTGATGCGGGTTTCAGACTTTCAGCCATACAAACCAATAAAATCGCACGCCAGAACCCTGGCTTCGGCGAATCCTTTAGCCGCCCGCCTAGCTAAAATGTACGTCCACATTGCAGGGATTGTGGGTTTAGGGTTTAGGGTTTCCTAAACCCTAAACCCTATACCCTAAACCCTAAACCCTATCCCCTAAACCCTAAACCCTAAACCCTAAACCCTAAACCTAGGGTTTCCTTTTAAGGTATAGAGCCGACTTCGGGGCACCAAAAGTGGCTGCATGGTTCAGAGAAAGCTCCCCAGGGTTGTAAGGCTTTGGGGTTTCGGGTTAAAACAAACCCGAGACCCTAGAAACCACAAGCCGTAAGGGACCCAAAGCTATTTCAAGCCTGAGGCTGCGCACCCTCGAGTTGCGACTGCCCCGGTCTGACTAGCCGCAGTGATTCTGAGACCCTTAAACCCTACACCCTAAACCCTAGCCCTAAACCCTGAACCCCAAAACCCTAGAACCCCTAAACCCTAAGCTTCAGGGTTCACGAGCTTCGGGCTGTGGGCCTAGGATTCTTCGCGCTGAGCCGGTCCTGTGGCCGTAGAGACTTTAGACATCACCTCCCATGCCTCCTCCTTCGAACCCGACAAGAAGTCCCACGAATGTACAGAGACGTCAGCCCAAATGTGGTGCAACGCGTCAGCCCTTTTCCAAGAGACAGCCTGTCTGAGGCGAATTCGCTGCAAGTGCATGGAGTCAAATTCTGTTCTGCACTGCGCACCTGTGGAACTCTTCCCCAAGCCCCGAATTAGACTCGGCCCGTGTTTTTTGCCCGCATCAACTGTAAAAAGTACTAATCGTACTAGTAGAAGTGATAGCAACACCTAATGAAGCAATCGCAATAGTAGCGATCGTTGTACTTAGGCTGAGAATGATAATCAATAATGGCCCGTCATGTACTTTGAGCTCGTTTGGCTTCTCTGCTGCTCCTGCCTGCATGGCGATCTTGCCCTGCTGTTCGCTCGTGGCCCCTAAACCCTAAACCCTAAACCCTAAACCCTAAACCCTAAACCCTAAACCCTAAACCCTAAACCCTAAGCCCTACACCCCAATCCCCAGGGGCCCCAGCAG